AAAAAAAAAAAAAAATGCTCAGGGGGTGTTATGATCTGTATAGTATAAAGCCCCTTTTCCACTGGTCAACAAACCCACTTACACCCACTCACATCTGGCTTTTTTCCTCCAATGGCAATGGATACAATCGACATTCACTCCCGGTTCAAATGACTGCCGTAGAAAGAGGTCAGGTCCCAGTCCGATCGACAGTGTTGAAAACATGCCACCCCGGTGGCCCATCTTTATTTTGACAGTCCAGACGATGATGCTACACTTTTTGTAGGACAATGTAATGACAAGAACAGAACAAACGGCTGTTGGTGCATTAATAGCCATGAACATATGTGTACTTTCACTTTTTACAACCTGGGAACAACGAGCTGCAGTGATATATTTTCCCTCCGTGTAGTGCAAGATGCAACCCTGGCCAGACAGCAAGGTTTCCAGGGAGTTTGTGGGAATGGGTAGGAGTTGCCTTTTATTAGGAGGATTACCTCCTTTTAGAAAACTGTGTATACCTACTCATGTGGAGTATAAGAGGCATAAAACATGCTTCATCCCAGGGCCGTTAATTCAGGTGAGGATAAACTCCACAAAAATAAATAAAATAAAAGCAATACCCTTAACGCTGAAAAGCTTTCTATTTGTTTTCCATATTTAGCATAGTTAAATATACATGTAAGTACTCATTAGCATATACTGATACCACTGAACTAAACTCTTCCAGAGCCCAGTCTGTCAGGATTTGCATTCATTGGCCGGTTAGAATCAAGGATTCATTATTTGCCTTGTAAAACCAGTTCCCCTGAGTTTTTCTCTCCTACAAAATCAAAGAAGCGTTCAATATTTAATGTGAAGTTTGATTTTCAAGTGTAAATTTATGCTTTGACCCACAGCTGGGTCTTCACTTAAATTTCCTGTTAGTTGTTAGTCATGTCAGACGTGTTCTGATCTATTTAAAAACATCGAGTGGCATCATTTATGAAGATCATTTTAAGCTATCTCACCCGTTCACTCATCCTCAATCTGTTTTGTTGAATTATACATGGTGTATCTGGACTGGGTCTGATACCTTAACATGCGTGATGCTTCAGTAAGCCAGTTAGTTTCATCACTGCACCTGAATTACACACACACACACAACTGAATGTGTGAGTGTGTTGCAGTGTGGGTGTGCTTTTGCAGATTAATGTGTATGAGCAGTCATGCGTTTATGTGACCTTATTATGTTGCATGAGTGTAGGACTTATCTGGAGTATGGATCATCTGTGTGCGTTTGTGTGCAGAGCATTTTATCATGTGTTAGTGGTTTTGAATAATTGCTCGATGTGTATGTGAATTAATGAGATGAGAACATGCACATGTGCCTCTGTTTGAGCACATCACCTATACAGCTCACCGAGCCACTACTAACACTGACTTGTGCCACCACTATTTAAAAGCGTACTATCTCGATTTAAGTCAAAACTGAGCTTGAAACCCACACAAGTACAATTTCAAGGACAAAACATTGCGTGTGTTTGATTCTGTGTGTTTGTGTATGTGTGTGTGTGTGTGTGTGTGTGTGTGTATGTGTGTGATTGGCAGGTGTGATTGATGCCCCGGGCGTTACGTTGTTGCATCGTAAGGCAGCACGCTCCAGTAACAACCCATTGTCCAGAGGGTCAGACACACACCCGCCCACACACACACATGCGCGTGTGCCAGCTCAGCTTGAAGGTTGGCCATTAAACACTGAGCTATGAGGCAGAACAGCTGGCTGCTCTCCTCAGGTTGAATCAGTTGATTCTTAGAGGAGACGTGCTTTTTTATTTTTTTATGGGAGAAGCACATCTGCCTCAGTTTCTCCTCAACCACTTTAGTTCCTTACTGCTGAAGCAAGCATCACATGTGCTTAATGTTTTCTAGCTTTTATGTCTGTTTGCCAACATGAGAGCTTCTTCAGCCATTCAGTTTTACATGTAGATTCAAAACTCCAACTTTCACAAATACATGTATATGGTTCCAATGGAAGCTGCCACTACAAATGATTTAAAAACACTATTTTAAATGTTAAAACACATTTTTTGTGTCCTTTGTGTGTTAGAAACATCAACAACATGCTCCCTTGCTCGCTGTGAATTTTCTTGCTACATTCTCACATGAGCTGACTTGTATATTCTATTAGGGGGCTGGCAGGAAAGTGAAAGTGTCCAGAGCACCTGTCTCGGACCTTTGCTTCCTCTCATGCAGCACCTCCTTAAAGAGCAGCACCGGGACATATCCCATTGCATCATTGACTCTGTGGACCATCCAAAAAGTTTTAACTGACCTTGGCAGGCAGACAGAACGCTGTATAACATTGGTAGTTTCCACTTTATCTGTGTGTGTCCCCACAGTGGGCAGACCTCGGCATAACACCTGACCTTTGTCATTCACAATAATCACAGTCACAACAACCCTGCACCTCATACTTTTTACTGATGCCAGAAAAATATATACACTTATGATTTTTGAAGCCTAAATATAGTTGCCACAAGTAAAAAGCTAAGTTAAACCTTTAACCAACTACTCCCCTATCGCACGCCTTCAGCTTCACCACCACTAAACGTCTAACTTGTAATTTCATTTGGCATGCTTACCTCTTATACAGAAGCCTCTCCTCTACCTTCCTGTTTATACTCTCTACCATGTGAGTATATACTCATGGAGGCTGTAAAGGCCTCCTGAATCTAAAACATTCAGAGCTGTGGTACAGACATTCATCCACATTTGTTTACCTTTCTTTTTCTCTTTCTTATTCTGCAATGAGAGCCATGATTCTCAGAGCAGCTCTTTTGGCGTGAGTCAGTGTTTATGCTTCCTGACCTCTCATATTTATTTAGCTTGCACTCATACACAATTGATTGTGTAGGTCACAAACTCACTGTTGGAAAACATTTTGAGTTAGAGAGAGGGCATTGTGCATCGAATTTATCTTCAGCAGCTTTTATGATAATCACAGGCTAATGCATTTATATAAAAAGTATATGAAATGAATCTGCACTGCCCATTGTTTCTGTTCTTGGGAACAGCTTGAGGAGCAGGTGTTTTGGGCTGTGTGCCAGTGTGTGTTTATGTGTATGTATGTGTGTCTGTATGTGTATGTGTGAGAAGGACCCAAGTCCCTCTTTGATATACTGTATGTGCAGTGGAGGCTGTTAAACAGACTGGTATGTAATTAGGGCCATGCTGGTAATCCTGCAGGATATTCCATGGAGACAATAATCTTAAAGTGATCTATAGTCAACACTGTTCAGCCCAGAGATGTTCACGATTTACTTGACATCAAAAACACAACAGGAAAATGATGATTCAAGTCTGTTCAATAGTTTTTAGAAAGACGCTCCAAAACTCCTCACGTGCCGTTTAATCTTGTTTCTCAGACATGAGAAGTATGTGAGGCTCTGGTCTGCTATGGATTTTAGTTTGCAGTGGAACCAGCATGGCTGCAGATGTCTGGCTACACAGCACTTAACCTACAACTGCACACTTACAAGAGAGACAGGCAAAGACTAACAGAGTAAGCGTCCATGTAACAGATGGTGTCTGTAGGTTTCAGATCTATCTAGATGTCATTATGGACACTTAAAGTCTCATCATTATCCAGATCATTGTCCATTGTGGGTTAAAGCACTGTGTTAGTAATGGATATAGGTTAGTCATTTATTATAGTGCATATATTTGGCTTCATATTAAAGGTGTGATGCTTTTAGATTGAGGAAATCTGATTACATTTCAAAATGTCTATATTATGATGCCATGGTGAAAGATTAAGTGCGTGTTTTTTAGCGTCTCGTTTTTCCCCCCTGTTTTTTAAATGGTGAAAACAAATGTGTGAAATATTTAAGTTACATTTGCAGATAAAAAGTTATACATGTTATACGGTTTGTCAGTTATTTTCCTGTGATGACTAATCCCACACTATTATACATATACACTCTGCAGCAGTAGGTCCTTTTTTGTATTACACAGGGTTTGCACGCACGCACACACACACACACACACACACACACACACACACACACACACACACACACAC